ATGGTTGTTCATTATTTTTGTTATTTTCTCGCCATGGCCACCTTTTAAGAAAGGCTTCTCAAAGTTATAGCATTTCATTGCAGCCATAGTCCAGATGTGGGTTGAAGGTCACCAAGCTCAGAGGAACCTGGAAAACAGAGTCCTAATTCCAGGCAGCTATATACACAGACATAAATGAAAGGCGTTGCCACTGGAAAAGGTGAAAACAGCCTTCTGGGCTCCTGGGCATGTCCACGTTCCGGTCCTCCAGGAACTGTGCCTGGACCAAACCTGCTACTGGCCAGATGCTGCCACCCACTTGCAGGGAGAGCCCCCTGCTGCTAAGCTCCTAACTGAGCTGTCTGTCTTCCAGCTTATGTCCTGCCCGTGAAAGTGGAGATGGAGATGGTCATTCAGCAATACGAAAAGGCCAAGGTCATCCAGGATGAGCAGCTGGAGAGACTGACACAGATCTGTCAAGAGCAAGGGGTAATGTACCACCACCACTGGTTCTGTCCCGAAGAAGACACTGCAGTGCCTGTAGTCACAGGATGCCAGTTGCAGGGATGGCCAGCTAAGGAGCTCCCCAGGCCCTTGTTGCATGCGTGGGGAACCTGAAGCCCAGAGTGGGAAATGTGTGCTAGCACAGCATGACTCCCAGGTCAGGGTTCTTTTCAATGCCCCATGGTGACCAGCTGGCTCTCCCCTCCTGAACCAGTGAGCCACTTGGCATTGGGTCGTCTCAGCACAGTGACCTCTAAAGTAGGGCAAGGATTTGCTCTGCGGAGGGCTGCTGGGCACCCCTGTGGACCAGTGATCACTCAGGACCTCTGGGAATCCCAAAGAGGCATGCTCCTCCCCACCCCCCACGCCCCCAGAAGCTACGGTAAAGACTCAGACAGGCAACTCTGCAGGGCGGGGCTCAGCAAAACCAAGGGGACGGGCACAGCTGGGCCGGAGAGGGCTCATCTGGAACCTCCGGAGGTCCCTCCCCTGTGGCGTCAGCCAGGTCACCTTCCTCACCTGTAAGATGTGGGGGCTGTACCCAGGAGGGACAGGAAGGGAGGCTGGGGCACTCAGGAGATGGGGGGAACACAGGTCCTGTAGTGAGGTTGCAAAGTCCTGCACAAACTCAGCATGGTGCCAGTTGTGCAGGTGGGAGTGCCACTGGGTGATCAAGGGGCTCGAAATGTGTGTAGGAGAAAGGGCCAGGTGACACATGCGGTCACTCCTGTGGGTTCCAGGGAGAAGACAAGGCCACTGCCCTCGGCTTCCTGAACCACAGAAGATGTGCCCCAACGTGGGGCCTGGTTCCCTCCCTGCCCCATTGCAGTTCCAGGTTCTCAAAATCCCAGGGCCACCGGGCCCCCTGTCTTGTTTCTTACCCTCCTTGTACACACACTCTGATGGAGTCACACGTCACTCTGACGATCATGCCAGCCCATCACTTGGGTTTTGGTCATGGGTGCTCCTTACCCAAACCCCTGCCCCTCCAAACTCTTCCTGTTCACTCTGTATAGGTGCTGGCTTCTCCCGGACACCAGCACACCCCCCCCCAGTCCTGGCAGCCAGCCTCCTTCCTCCATGGGTCCTGTGCACTCAGCCAACAGCTGGTAGTTTGCATCTGAGGCTGCTCCTGCTGCTGAATTGGGTGTTTCCATGGGCACTTGCCAACTCCAATCACAGCCCAGCACCCCACTGTGGCGCTTAGTAAATGCCTGCTGCTCAGCCCAGCCTCTCAGAGAGGAAGGAGGAACTGTAGGAGGCAAGAAGCCTGGAGAAGGTCCCCACAAATTGATCACAGGCTGCATCGTCATGGAAACACACCACAGTGCCTTCAAAACCATCCCTTTGGGACAACTGTCAGGGAAACAACTATTTTATGTATTTTGGGAAGCCATGGCTTGTCATTTCGGCACATGGTGCTTATGTAAAGAGCAAGAGGGGACATTGGGGACACAGCCCCAGGGAGACATTGTCCAGGGAACCTGGGATCAGGCAACTCTATCCAGTCATAGACACAGAAGACAGTTGTCCAGCCCTGAGTGGTCACCATCAGCATTGTCCATCCTCCCATTTGTCAGCCAGGAAGTGCCACCGCTGGGGCAGCCCATACCTGGCCCATTCTGGGCACCAGCCTACATGGGCACAGGACATGGCCCTGCCCTCATGAGGCCCTGAGTGGCATGGGCAGCGGCCCAGACAGAGATAGCAGTCATCAGGTGGGAGGGCTGCTCTAGCAGGGTCTGTCCAGGGCTCTGCAGGCAGGAGGCCAGGGGGCAGAGCCACTTGCAGACAGGTAAGGAGAGACGGCTCAGGTGAGTTCTGGGAGTGTTGGTGTGTTGAGGAACAAGAGGCTGTGGCGGTGAGAGAAGTGGAAGGATTTGGAGACAGGTGTGGTTAGGGACCTCTGGGGAGTTTGGGCTTCATCCCTACAGGAAAGGGAAAGGGCATATTAGATATAGGGATGGAATCAGCTCAGATTATTTTTGTGATACATAGATCATTTTACTATTTCCAATTATATATATTTATAGCTATCTAACGTATCACCTCTTTTTGTATTGATCTGCAAAGCTTTGTTTGTTTCGGGGGCACAGCATCAAACCTCTGTAGGTGTCGACACAGCAGGGTACCCTCACCCAGCCCCGCCCCCCCTCCCCTTTCTCATGGCCACCATCATTTTGTCATCAGGGTCTAAGAGTTGTCTCTGTTGTGTTTTGTGAGTGTGTTTTGTTTCTTTTTAGTCCACATACAAATGAAGCCATATGGTATTTGTCTTCTCTTCCCAGCTTATTTCTCTTAGCCTCATTACCTCAGGTTCTATCTGTATTGTTGCAAAAGCCAAGATTTCATCTTTTGTTCCCTAGAGCTGAGTATCCCATTGTGTCTATACCACATCTTCTTTATCCATTCCTCTGTCACTGGGACTGATAGCTTGGCTATCTTTTCAAATTAGCGTTTTTAAACTATGCAACTAGACACTTAGAAGTAGAATTGCTGGATTATATGGTAGTTCTATGTTTAATTTTTGAGGAATCTTCATACTGTTTTCAAGCTGCACCGGTTTCCATTCAGATTTCCTTTTTGATGGATTCTCCAGGGTGTCATTGAGGACCAACAGGTGGCAGGGTGCTCTAGGAAGACTGACAGGGAGACCACAGCAACCCCCAGGGGCTGAGGCCTAAGTTTGGAGTAGAGGGAGGGCAGGCAGAGGGAAGAGGATCTTTCTGTTGTGGTGCAAGCCTGGCCGGAGCCTGGTTAGGCAGAGCCCAGGCTACTTGGTAGGAATGGACTCTCTGCTCGCTAGAGTCGGCCCTTGAAAGGCTCAGGCGAGGCCACCTCACCCTGCACACATGGCCCCTCCCAGCCGGCCAGAGAGCAGCTACCCAGCACACCCTCACCTTAACAACACATGTACCACATGGCTGGGGGAGAACCCTAATGTCACTCCCACCTCCAACTCTCCACCGTGACCCTGGCCCTGAACCTCAGGGTCCCCAGGTACCTACCACCCCCACATGTGGCCTCCTTCCCTGGGGGTCTTGGCTGGAAAGATTCCCTTGGATTCTGCACAGGAAAGAGTCAATAAATAAAGACAGAGTCTCTCTAGGTAGTGACATCTGGAAAAGAGATGTACAGAAACAACCCATTTTAATTTAAAAAACATCTGAAGCCTGTCATCTTAGTTAAGACAGCAAAAAGGAACAGACAGACGGGATTGCAGAGTTGCTGCCAGGGGAGGTGAGAGGGCCAAGCCTGAGGGGCTACCACTCCCTGGGTGGAAAGGACACACACCTCGTTTCAGCTGCATTTTAAGACCGGATTCGGGAACAGACTGGGCCACAAATTCTCTTAAGAAAATGAAAGTGCCGCTCATGGAGCAGCAGGAATGGGCAGGCCCTTTGACAAAACAGGGCTTGCGAAGGTTAGGAATTCTAAACAAAAATTCTGGGACAGACCTAGGTATATAAAGTCAGCTTGGCTTCTTGCTGGCCTCGGGGCTTTGGGTACAGATCGGACTCTCTGGCTTTCTAATTTGAAAAATGGGGGCAGTGATAAATCCTTGCCTGATGGTTGTGAGGTCACTTGCCCCAGAGGTGGGCATGTCATACCGCTACCCAGTTAGAGATGCACTGGCCCATCCATCTTATTCCCCCCATGCTCCCATCTTACAGGTAGGAAAGCTGAGGCCTGGTGACTTTCCCAAGAGCTCATTGCTAGCCAGGGACTCTCAGAGCCAGTAGTGGTGCAGTGGTCCTGACAGTGTACTGTTCCTCCCTGGCCTGCTTGTTTTCCTATTCTGTGACAGGTTTCTGCCCATCAGGATCAAACACTGTCAAAGATTCTCTAATCGCTGCCCCCCTGACCTCCATCCCTGCCCCCCAAGTCGTTCTGGCCAGCTTTGTCACCACTCCCACTCTCTGTCTCCCTGCTGGAATGAATTCTCAGAGTCTAATCAAGCCAAACTGGGCTCTGAAAATGGACCAACGTTCCCAGGGAACATGGAGAATCTAAGCGAAACATCCACCTTGTATTCACCATGCTCTGTCCCTGGCATGGACTGCTTAGTTGCCAGGTAAAGTAATGCTTGACTCAGCTCTTTTTAAAAGTAAACTTCATTTTTTAATCAGCTTTAGATTTTTGGGAAAATTTATGAAAATAGTACCGTGTCCCCATGCAGCCAGTTAGGCTGACTTTGTTCTGATTTCCTCAGTTTTACCTAATGTCTTCTGTCTGTTCTGGGACCCCACCCAGGACGCACATCACTTCTTGTCTCCTTAGCTGCCTTCTGACTTCCCTGGTGTTTAATGACCTTGCCAGTTTTGAGCACTGGTCAAGGATTTTGTAGGTTCCCTCTACAGGGACTTGTCTGGTTCTGATGTTGCTATGTGATGTTTTCCAATGATTAGATCGGATTATGGGCTTCTGGGGAGGAAGCCTGGAGAGGTGATATGCCTCATCACACCCCTCAAGGGCCCTACATGGCTGACCACCTGGCTCTAGTGATGTGTCAACTCCCTTTTTTATTCATCTTAGCTTTTCTAGAAAGTTTAAATTGTGTCTGATGTTGAGGAGACTAAGGTGAGAGGCCAGTTTCTCGCGTGGTCTCTTCTGGCCTCTGGCAGCTGTTTGCACAGGCCTCACCCAGGGTTCCCAGTACCACTTTGGTGAAAACTGAGAAGCCCTTGGGGGACCCCACACAAACAAATTTGGCAGGTTGGGGGCTCTGAATCCCAGAAAAGAGGGAGGGATGTCCATGTCACATAGCCCCAACCCCCTTCACTCTGTTCTCCATCATGCCCCCCTCTTTGACTCCTTCTCTTCTGACCACTGGGCACACCTCATTTCTAACCAAGTCCTGCCCAAAAGCAGTGCCCAGGGTGGCAGTGAGGAGAAGGAGAACACTGCCAGACTGTGATCTGGTCTCCTGCCGCCTGTTCCTAAAACACTCACTCCTATGCAGGAGCCTCAGGAAACTCCCCCCC